AATAAAAATTTAATATTTCAATAAAAAATGGAAAATTTTGCAAAGAAAAAAAAAATTAAGAATAAAACAAAATATATTATATTTTGCTAAACCTGTCAAGAACTAGGCACGTTTGCCCAAAATTCTTAAAATTTGAAAATTATGCACATGTATTTTATTAAACAGTGTAAGGCATTCATCGTAGATAATGAAGATATATTCTACTCGTATTTATAATAAATTGTAGATAAGACATACGTGACCTTCCATTTGTCTGACTAAACGAAAAGATAATTCACAGCCTATCTAGTCTACTTTTTTATTGCTAAATTGCGCTAGTCACTAAGAACTTATAAGCTTTGTGCGCTTATTCGCTCACCACCCATTTAGGCTTATTAAATTCACCTGTATCTCTTAGGTAAGCATATCAATACACGTATGTACATAGGTGTAATAAATTATACCACACCTGAGCTAACAAACCAGTAGAAATAATTCATATAATATAAAATTATATGATTTTATGACGGAGATTACGAAGTAATCGCAGCTGCGATTGATTTTTAATTCGTCTAATTTTAACTGCTTAGTTTTATGAGGGGTATATGTGAGCTTATATTAATATTCTTCTCTGCCAGAAAGATCAAACTAGGGATATTACGAAAAAATCACAATTGAAGTGTTTTACAGTATACATTGGTCAGTTTGCTTTCGATTCATTTGAGATTATATTTCACAGCTGCAGCTGTTCATGGTGATGTTGAAGTTATATGAGATTTATGGAATCTTTTGTTTCAAGGATCTGAAAAACATATAAATCCTCGCTAGCTATTAAGAAGTTAGAAGACTAATAGTCAGTGGCTCAATCTTCCCTGCACATTTCCGCATGATGACTATACGTCTAATCTTGATATGTAAATATTTACATTCCATCATTTCCTCATAATATTTCTCACTGTTGTCACTTGAATAATCTCACATCTTCTGAAGATGTTATGCAGAGAAATGTTAACAAAATCTTTGATTTATAATTTAAAACAAGAAGGCCGTGACATTTTTATTAAGAAATTATCGAATATAAATCAGGTTACATTGGCTTAACTATTATAATTTCTTGTATCTGTTCCTTCAAAATTTAATTTGACTTTAGGACTGACATGCATATGGAAAAAATCATACTATTGACTTTGCCTGGGTAGCGTAATAGGTATTAGTGGCCGAAAGCGAGCCATCTGCAACGGACACTACAACACTGTGACTGAGTGTGAATAATTGAGGTTCTCATAAAGCTTTAACCTTAGTCTGCTGTCATCTTAAAAGTACTATACCTCTCTCAAATCTTATCCAATTTGATTTGGACTGACAAAAAAAATTTTATATTTTTACGTATTTTAATTCGGATCCAACTTTTGGTACGAGACTAGTCTTACGAGTGCTTTATATCCAAAACATTAACCAAAATGAGTTAATGTAATACATAAGATATGTTGAGATTATATGCTATTTCTCTGATGCCAGGAACGACGATTATCAAACACTATTGCTTTTTCGTCATTGACCAAGATGGATGGACGACACGCGTGAGACAGGTTTGGGACCTTCACTTGAATGCTCTCTGGCACACAAATACTTGTGTATGTACATAAAGAAGACTCCCCAAAACGCTTTTATAACATTTTCAATGATTCCGTAAACGTTTAAATGGACTAGTCCGGGTCAAATTTGATCAGAATGTATAATAAGATATATGTAATTCCTCAGGGTTTGAACCAAGCCATTTAAAACTAACTAACTTCCAATAAAATTCAAGGAATTAGAAGCCCTAGTCCGGGTCAAATTTGATCAGTCTGTTTCTCAGGGCTTGGACTGAGCAATTTAAAACTAACTGTTATATTTTAATATTCAATTTCATGTATTAGTCCCAATCTGAGACAAATTTGATCAGACGGTATAAAAACTATATTCCTCAGGGCTTGGACTAGCAACTTAAAACTAACCGAACTGTAAAAATAAACTTACATATATTATACTTGATTTGCGTTTCAGTAAATTTTCAGGTATTAGAAGTTAATATAATATAAAAAATGCAATTATATTTTTTGTAAAATTGCTTTTCGTCTAGGTACTGTTAAACACCTTCAGTAAACATTTTTACTAATATAGTGTTATCATAAATAGGCATATATATGTTACACGTGTTTAATAATTGCATCTTTCAATCACCTGACAAGACACGCTCAAGGACAAACTCTTGAATATTGTGTTAGCAAATGAAAAAAAAAAAATTTTATTGCCTGCCAACAGATTGCTATTTACAATTGGACTTTCCCAGCAATTTGCATTATTAAGCAAGCACACACACACATGCTTCGCGCTTTGTATGTATATATACATGTGTGTGCAATTTTTTGTATAAGCACGGCCTATCAACTGAGAGTAATCAAGCAGTTTGCCGGCCGGCCGGCAAACATTTATTAACGCAAATCTACAAAAACTACCGGCACCGCACAGGCGCTCACCCGCCCGCTCCCACAGAACAAACAAATGCCAGCTGGCAACAGAGCTTGTTTAATAGGCACTCGAACACTGGTTCACACACACACTTGCTACTTACCCATGCAAACGACTCATGGTGATATCACCGGCATCGTCCGCCACCACCAAGTAATCGGTAGCCGTATCCAATCCAGTTACACGTCCGGATACATACTTAGAACCAAGACTAGTGCCGTTTATACTGTAGACATGCACCGAATGCGAGGTATCGTCCAGCGCGCTGAATGCAATGTGACCTGGAACAAACCAGAATTAACGAATTAAATTTTTAATTTATTAAGTACAAAA